TTGCCTCCAGAAGTTGTGAATGCCCCAACATTGGAAGTCTTTAAGATGATGTTGGATAGCCATTTGTCTGAAATGGTATAAGGTTTCCTGCCTAGGCAGGGAGTTGGACTAGAAGACCTCTAAGGTCCCTTCAAACTCTGCTATTGTATTGTATTTCATTGTACATGCTAGTTGCCAAGTGAATTTTGATCCCATGATCACCATCGTGTGAAAAATGATCATAAGTCCCTTTTTAAAGTGCTGTTGTAACTTTCAACGGTTACTAAACAAATGGTTGTATCCTGCTTCCCTGAAAATAATCCCTCCCGGATAATAAACCCAATCAGGCTTTTGAGCACATGCGCTAAAATAAACTCTCCTCCAAAAATAAGCCCTCCCTGAAAATATTGCAACATAGCAGCAGCTATCGGGTGACCATGCTCACTGCCTCTTGCACCTCAAAAATAATAAGACCTCCCCAAAATGAAGACCAAACGCTTATTTCGGGGGGGGGGGTCAAAAGAAAATAAGACCCTGTCTTATTTTCAGGGAAACATGGTTATCTGTCTTCAGAATCAGAACCTGAGCACTCTATTCTCATACCTTCCACAACGTAAACTTTGGTGAGCGGGAAGTCTATATCCTTTGCCATTGCCTCAATTTCCTGCTTGAGCTCTCCTTCGGGAAGTGGAATGAATTTGTCAAACAACGGAGCAATATAGTCAGCATAAATTGTGACAAGAACCTAGAATGGAGCAAAAAGATAGAACACAAATCCCTTACAATGATAAAGATACTGTTGTTCACTTTAAAAAAATCCAGCTTGCACTTTTACAGAGCAAGTTGGAAAGACATTACCAACAAAGTCATAATTATTATTTTATTGGTGCTGAACTAGAGAAAAAGAAACATGGGTGACAATTTTTTATATAGTAACTGAGGTAAAAGTACTGTATTATATGCACAAAGTTAGAGGAAACATCGATAGCAGAGGATTGGATAATAAAATGGATGGAGATCATAGAAATGACAAAGCTGACCAGTTTGGCCCAGGGAAAAAACAATTAAGACTGTTTTAAAAAGTGGAAACCTCAGAATGGAGTTTTTGCTGAAAGAAGGAAAGACTGAATTGATGATTTAGGAGGGAGGAGAAAGAATAAGATGGTCCTTATTAAACAGAAAGGAGGAAGTCAACATTCTACATTTTCTTCCTTTTTCACTTTTTTCTCATTCTTCATCCTTTTCTTTTCATTTTTTTATACCTTTATTGTAAAATTCAAATATTTTTTTTAAAAAAGGAAACTCACTATCATCAAGGGCAAAACCTTAACAGAGGAGAAAATCCTTAACAGCGGGAGACCATTTTTGAATTTTGAATAATTCTAAACCAAACATCCGGATGTTGTGAACTCACCAAGGAAACAACTAAGGTGAAAAGCCAGGCATAGATGAAGAAATAGTCTCCACCTATTTTGATGATATAAAGCAGGAGCGAGGTCACTGGCAGGAGAATACACTGTGTCACAATGAACTTCTTGATGGCATCTTTAAAAAAGAATCCCAGGGTCTGTTAAAGAGAAGCATACATAACAAGCTGGGAGGAAATCTGAAATGGACTGGATAAATACCACGGATTTTACATTGCGTGCACCTAAGTTACATTTCAAAATTGTCCAGCTAAAATTGACAGAACATTAAAAACACTCCTTTTATTTTATTTTAACTTACTGCCCCTGTGTATGATTTGCCAACTGCACAGTGGCAGATAGGACAGGGCTCCAGAGGATTAACATCATTGCCCAGAGGATCACTGGTTGCCTTCTCCCCTCTTTGGAAGAGTTTTATAGCTCCCACTGCCTTAAGAAAGTTCAAAACATTCTTCAAGATCCATCTCATCCTAGGCCGTTATTTTTTTTTTGAACTATTACCATCGGGCAGATAATACAGGACAATAAAAACAAGAACAAATAGGCTGAAAAACAGCTTCTATCCCAGAGCAGTAACTATATTGAATTCTACTGTATAGTGCAATATTAATGCAATATCAGGGTTTTTTAATTCAATTGCATAGAATGTGAAGGACATGTGTTTTATTTTTATGGTTTTCTTATGTATAATGTACACTGAAGATGGCATTTAATTTCATTGTACGAGGTGCAATGACAATAAAGTACTACTACTACTACTTCCTCAAGTATGACAAAGCAGCACATCCAAAAACCCAAGGGGCGAAAAGTTTACTCAAGATGACACTGAAAGAGAATGTGCTTAGACATGTAACCAGGAAATAGCTAAAATAAAACAGAAAAGAAAGGACATGGGCAACTCCCATAAACACCTCCTGAGAGAGAGAATACAAGCAAAGTACACTAAACATTTTGATTGTTCTCGAGGCTCATATTTCAGCAATTAATCATGGCAATGCAACCATTTTCATGGTTGCCTTCTGGGCTCTACGATATCTGAAACAGAACCACTCGATCAGGGGTGTCAAACTCGCAGTATCATGGCAACATCACGTGACGTATTGTGACTTTTCCTCCTGCGCTAAACCGGGCGTGGGCATGGCCAGCGCGATGCATCTGGCCTGCGGGCCGTGAGTTTGACACCCCTGCACTAGATTCTGTAGCAGCTCAGGTCCATATAGAATCAATCATGTTCACTCTCAAGACTCTTTTTCCCCACTATGTATTCAAAATGGACTGTGATTAATAGACGCTTTGGTGTCATTTTTAGCATTTTTGGTGACGCTGCTGTTATATTATTATTATTGCTACTGCTATCCTTGGGGTGGTGACATTGTTTAGTGGGTGGCATTCCTTCTTTAGAGAGGTCATTGGAATTTCATTTTAATGTGTGCTGCAGAGTAATGACAATAAAGGTTATCTTCTTATTGTTACAGGCAGAGAGAGCTCTTGTCTGTTAATAGATGTAGGTTAGCAATTTCTCAAGATTAGCTGGAGTATAGTTTCCATCAGCCATTAGGCAGGGTGGTCAGTCATGGATATCTTATGATTTAATAAATTTGTCCACGGCTAATTTCAGTAAGTTGACCCGTAATAGTGTACAGCATGAAACATCCACAATAAGGAACTATAAAACATGAGTAGGAGAATTCAAACAAACGCAGCATTAAAACATCCACAGGAAGATATTGCATTCTATCGCGACGAGAAGGTAGAAGTGATGTAATACCTGCTGATTGAAACCATGCTTTTCCTCAATGACAAAAGTATTATAGAGGCTCCAGGGAAGACCTGTGACCGCACTGAAAAGTGTAGCAAGCAGGAGGAAGACCAATGACTGGACAATCTGTGCATCAGAATAATGAAGAGGGGAATTGTTACAGATAAGTATTATCCTTAGCTACATAATAGGGTCAGACTGACACTTAGTCCTACTTGCAAAGTCTCCCTAAAATATAAACAGGATATCTGTTTGTTACAACTATCTTGATTTTAATGGTTTAGTCTAAGTATGACCATGTCTGAATTACAGCCTATAATTCTTATGCACTTTGGAGTTATGCTTAGGGCTTCGGCCAAATCCCTGAAATTATATCCTGGTGCAAACTGTTTGAAGTTCCTCTGGCCACTGGAAGTAGTTAATCCAATGCTTCTCAATTTTGGCAACTTTAAATTAAATTAACTTTGGCAACTTCAACTCCCAGAATTCCCCACCCATGCAGACTGAGGAATTCTGAAAGTCCACACAGCTTAAACTTGCCGGGATTGAGGGGAAAAAATAGTTTAAAAAATCACAAGTAGATCCATCCACAGGCTGTACGTTCAAACAAACCAGGATCCTACATTGGGTTCTCTCCACGTAAGCCACAAATGAAACAAAGTATTTGATACATTTATAGCACTAGCCAAACTACAAAGCTGTCACATTTATTTAAGTCAATGCCCCTGAGTTGAGCTGCCCAGTTGGCATTATCAAGAAGCAGGCACTAGCCAAGGAAAGCCATTATGAAAAATATCACATAGAAATCAGCAAAATCTATAAATCCAGGAAAAGAACATTCTGGCAAACTCTTGTGTTTTCTGTCCCCCCCTCGATTTTACGAACCTGGCCATACTAAAGATGATCCAGAAATCAGTTCTGGATCTGGATCCTGGATCCTCATTTTACTGACCTCAGAAGGATAGAAGTCTGAGTCAATCTTCAGCTGGTCAGGATCGAACTGTGGAATGCAAAGTTAGCCTGCAATGTTGCATTCTAATCAATGTGCCACCATGGCTCTTTCAATTAGCTTGAAAGGGATTAAGGAATTACTATCCAATCTAGATATTACCATAGCTAGCTAGAGATACTAAATGGGAATCCAGACTAGATGGCAATATTATTCCACCTTCTAAACCAGATATTTCCTTGATTTGTTTTAGCACACCTTTTCTTACATATCTAAACATTTAAACAAAAGTTATTAAAGGATTACTTAGCATTTTATCAGGTTAGTATTGATCTGAATCAAGCAAACCAATACACCTACCTCATACTCAGGTCCAAAACCAGCACGATTTGAAATGTCTCCAGATACAGACCAAAGAAAAGGAATTCCTCCACAAAGAAGAATTATCTATAAGAACAAAAATATGGAATTTTATGGAAAAGGCTAACATGATATAACCTTTTTAAATTGTGGGATTCCAGAAATCAAAGAGGTACAGATTCAAAGCTGCATGTATTTAACTGTAAATCTTATTGGGTGTCAATAAAGTAACAGCCAAAGTTAATGTGAGCCCAAAGCTCATTCATGTACCAGCAAATAATTGAATGCTATAGTTTAATCACCTGAGCACTACTTTCATTGAAATTTTTTCCCATTCTCTAAACATTAGGAAAAAAGGGGACATGGAACTTCTGAGCTAAAGCTGAATTGCATGCAGGTTGTAGAGAGAGAGAGAAATGGAGCATTATAGACAAAATGCTGCATAAGATAGAAAGATGAGGTAACAGGGAATGCAAGAGCATAAGCTAATCTTGTGTTAGCTAATACACTTGTAGCATTCGTGGCTAATTCTTACATTTGTGACTAGCTCTTGCTCTATCATCTATTTCAGGAGTGGGCAACTTTACAACTCATGGACTTCAACTCCCAGAATTCCTAAACCAGCTGAAGTCCATAGGTCATAAAGTAGTCACAGTTGGCCCATCCCGATCTATTGGGTCCTCCTCTACTATTGACATACAGCCCTTGAAGGGGATAACTTCAGGAATGTTAGCAGGAGGAGGAAAAGCCACTCTCAATTCTGCCTGAAGGAAATTTATCTCGGTTTTTTCATAGCATTTGCTTCTGGCTCAAAGGCTCTTTTATTCAACGTTCTATGAAGATAAAAAGCTCTATGGATTTCTACAATCTATCACAGAATAAATCCTTCTTGAATTTTTGTACAATTCCTTTGTCAATATTCTTGTGCGTGCATGCACACACAGTCGCAAAAATACATGTTAGAATACAGTCTAACTCACTAAAAAAATAGACAAAATTGAAGAGTATGAAAGATACCTACCGTGCCCTCTAACTCCGAGTACAGTCCTGACCAGAAGCTGAATGCACTTTTATCTAATTGGTAAAGACGGGATTTTTCAAACGTTTCTGAGTCCATGATTGGCCCTAATTCCAGTGGGACATGGGTGGTTGTCTTGTAGACGGTCCTCTGAAATATTTAAATATAAGCAGTCATTTAGTTTGCATTTTCAAAAATATTTTCACGTCCCACTGGAAGTTCAATGTCCAATAGCTAAGATAGGTGATAATTTAATGATACCATGATTACAAAAGCACTCATGTGCGACTAATAAATACATCTCTAAATCAATGGATCCAAGTTCTGTGAATTGTCTTAGTGGATAAAGAAAGAATCTTCCTTAGTTTACCTGATAGCTTTTACTGAATAGATCTGATCAATTCTTTTAAGGCTTAGACACAAAACTACTTGGAAAAACCAATCAAAATTTGTTTTTGAAGCTATGTGACAAAAGAAGTCCTGCTCTACTGTAATATCCCAATGTCAAACACTCTCAAGTTACAATAGTATGGCCTGTTTTTAATTAAATTTTAGAGAATCCACCCTAGAAACAGACTCCAGTTAAGAGGCTCTTCTCAATATTCTAGGGAAAGGCATGTAATTTTCATAATATGATATTAGCCTTAATAATACCAGTGCTGAAGATAAAACGCAGGTATTAAAAATAGGAGGCATGCATGTGTTTTGATGTACTTCAAACTAAGACACCCAGCAATTCTGCCGGGGGGAAGAGGACGAGGGGCGTTGTAGAACCAGTATCCTGCAGGTAGCACCTCAGGAAACAGCCTTTATAATCTAGCACAGGGGTCACCAACCTTTTGGACCTCAGGGACCACTAAATTCATAATTTTAAATCCCACGGACCACTAATATGATTTTTTTTTAAAAAAAATAGTATTTAGTGCAATATAAAAAATGCAAATAATTTTTCTGCGGACCACCAAAATTTTATCGCTGATCACCAGTTGGTGACCGCTGATCTGGCAAGGATCTTCTTATGTTCTTAGTTACTTAGAT